CACGGTCAACTTTATATTTGTTGGTGGACACATGCGTTGCACGTGCATGATTACTAGTAAAGCTAAACAGTCTGAGAACACCTAAAAATGTCTGAGTCTTTTCAAAAAAAAACTTATCTATTCATCGAACTGTCAAGATAGTATAAAAAACACTAGAAATAAAATCTTTTCATCGAACTTATCTATTCATCCAGGTCCGTGACCACCTAGCGGCGACTACAAACAATGGAGCGATCCGAAGATCCGCCGCCGTCATCACCCCTCCATCATCGGAGTCGTTAAGACTTTTTTTTAAATAGACAGTAGAGAAGTCGTCGTGATAAGGCCTCAAATGACCAACACACCAGAACAACAACCGCCGCCAATGAAGAGAAGCGTACATCGAAAGGATACAACATGTAGACACACGAACCTAGATGAATGAAGATCAGATCCATCAAAGACAAACGCCGACCAAAGCCCACGATATCCGCCAGAAACAAACCTCCACATGCCCTCTGACGATGTTAGAAGCATCATCGGGGGCTAAACGGGGGAGAACCTTATCCATCTTCAGAGAGCCGCCGCTGTCATCTCGTCTTACTGAGCAGGATACAAACCCTATCAAAAGTCCAAGAAACCTCTAAAAACGAAACCCTCCCGCCGGCAAGGAGCGAGATCCACCGCGTCTCCATGGTCCTAAGGCCACAGGAGACGAGGCAGCCCGGCGATCGCGCAGTGGGACGCGTCGGAAACTATAGTCGCCTTACTCATGCGAGCACAGTTAAGGGGAATAGTTAACTTAAACGGTCTGAGTTCTCTTTGTGAAAACAGACTTCCATGACAGTATATCTAAATTATTTTTTGTGAATAAAAGTCTGGAATTATAAGTACAATGTCTCTAACGACACAAGATATCGTAAAAAACATGTAAATTACAACCATACTCTCCGAGGGCCAAATAAACTCAATCTTAATACTATGTGTGTAGTGTAGGCACGCTCATACCAAGAGGCGAATCTCACCATTGTTGGAGGTATGCCTTTTCTCATGCATGGCGATTAACCGGGGTATTGCCGGTTTTCCTGGACAGAAAGGCGTTGTTTTAGTTATTTTAGAATTATGTGGAGCCAAGAAAACAAACAGGGTGTTTGGTCTAGTGGTATGATTCTCGCTTTGGGTGCGAGAGGTCGTGAGTTCGATTCTCGCAACACCCCAATATTTTTTATTTTTTGACTCAACCAATGATTGCTTTCGTTTTTTTCAACGTAAAAATGTCCATTAGCTTCTTCGAGTTCTCGTACGTCCTCGACCGCAGCCGCGGCCTTAACGGAGGAGAGGGGCCGGCCGGCCAACGGCCCTGCCATGCGTCTGATCGGCGCTGACTTCAGCGTTGCCACCGGCAGGAGCGGCCATGCCCATGCATGCCGCCCGCTGGCACGCACATGCTCCGTCCCAGAGCGCCCTGCGCATGCAGAATCAAGCCTCGACGATACGCCGGAGACCCCGTAGGCCCGTGCCCCCAGAGTGGCCGGTGGCTCCCGCCGGCGCCACGCCACAGGACAAGCTTTGCATCGCGCACGCATCGCATGGCATGGGGTCAAATCTCCCAAAAGAAATCTGTACCACCCCTCCCATCCTCTTGCTGCTGCACGGCATGATTCAAACCCATCCATCCATGGGATAAATTTCAGACATCTGCCATCTGCGTGAAAATGTTTGGAACACCCGGAACGACGACGACGAACCGGAGCGCAATTCGCCCTACGGAACGACCGGGTTTTCGGCGGACTGTATCTGATGAGGATAGCCCGTTTCACCACAAAAGTCAATGTGCGGATGAAATGTACTACAAGCTACAAAAGAATGTAATGGGGGCAAGGGGCCTTATTTTCCGGGCAGTGCGTGCCTGCTGCAGGAGTTGTTGTTCGCTAGGATCAACCAACTACATACACCTCGCTGGTGCACCTGGCCCAGCATTGATACGTTGGGAGGTTGGGAGATTGTCCATCTCTAGGTAGTGATCTTATGATCTCATCATTCATGGCTGGAATATCAACGGTGTACCGCGGCGAGGGCAGGGGATTTTATTCGGCGCCGTCCATGGCCATTCGATTTTCAAACGGATTTAGCACAGCTTTACTCCGGCACTCAAGTTCTTCCGTGGGGTTGCTTGTCGGTCCTCATCTCACCAGAGGGATGGGCAGGTACTCCGCATAGAACAGCTGCGGAGCCATGTGAGGGGAGTGAACGTGAGTTAACAGGATACACAAGGCGCAGAAGGTGAACTGGTTGAATATATTTGGACGGTACAAGGAATTTTATTTAAGCAGGATGCAGCGAAAGATCAGGGAATGGGCGATGTCAGCACTTACCCTTCAAATGAGGGATGTTATCACAGCTTTGCCACAGGATAATGACTCCGTAACAACGAGTGGGCCCAGAGGGTATCTCTTTATCGTGAGAGGAGTAAACCTCAGTCTTGAACTATCGCTATCGAGACATAGGTTTTCGGTATACTTGTAAGTCACCTTTATTTACACATCCATATGCGGAGTGCATGTGGTAAACCCTGAAGTAACCATCGGTATGTTAGTATGGAATATTCTCATGGTCCAAGGGACAATGTAAATGTGAACAAGTTATATGAAGTACCGACAACATAGCAGCAATGACATGTCTCATAAATATATAAGTTGGGTCTATCCAACTCCGTTGTAATCATGACAACGGTGTTCTCATATATTGATAGCATCCTTATTCAATACATGAGTTAGTTTTAATACATGAGTTAGTCTTAGAGGCTACACTAGAGATCACTTGTTGTTTATATTTGCACACATGTATTTGGGTTTTTCTCTGAATCTCATATTCAAGAACCAATACAATTGTAGCATAGAAACATGAACTTAATAATGAACATGAAAATATAATAATACATTAATTATTGCCTTTAGGGCATATTTCCAACATAGTTAACTAGTTGATACCAATTAAAACAAGGGGAGGGTGCTGGATTTCACAACTTCCTCCCTAGACGCTTCCCCTTGGAGTCTCGGCAGCTGGACTTGGTGTAGGCATCAGCGGCTCCAGGCTCGTCGTTGTCGTCACTGTCCGAAGCAGAGGCGGAGGAGGAGGACGAGACGACGATGCTCTCCATGCGCCGGGCGACGTGGGTCTGCTCCTCTTGGAGCCATGCGGCTCTCTCCGCCGCCGCCGCCCGCTCCATCGCCGTCGAACATGGCGAGCGAGGAGTGGATTTTGGGGAGAAGAAGTCGATTTGGGGTAGAAGTGGATTTGGAGGAGAAGCGAACAGGGCAAGTAAGGACAGACTGGGCTGCCCATACCCGTTCTAGATTTGGACCGAATGTGAGGGGTGTCATTCACCCGGCTCATTTGAGGTCGGTTTGAGGCGCCCGGGTGGGTCAGGGTTTTTTTACCCGCCCGGACACCAGTTTAAGATGCCTGACTGTAGATGCAGGAAAACAAAGTGTGTTCGTCCCTTTCTCTTTACTCTTCCCGGATCCCCCACTTGCCGCCGCTACCCATCACCCAAGTGCTAAGGCCAACTCCAACAGCCGACCCCAAACGGACGTTCGTTCCGTCCGGATTATGTCCGTTTGGGTCGGCAAAACGGACGCCCATGTCCGGTTTCGCCGCCAACCGGTCGGTGCACC